GCTGGACCACAGCCCCCCCCCCCGCCCCTTTTTCTAACGTGTTCGACGCGAGTGTGCCGTATGGGTAATGAGCCGACTATTGTCAGCTTTTCCCGCAGTAGCACAGTTACATATTTCACAACTTACCGCAGTGTTCCCATCGTCTGGTGCCTATGTCCATTGTCCTGGCTGTCCGTCTGTCTGGGTGTCAGTTTTGTGCATCAGTCGATGCGTGTGTGCGTATGGGTGTATTCGGCAAAAACAACCCCCTACCTTCTCGTGGTGCCAGGCGGGAACGCTGTGGTGGGCAGTGCCGTGGGGGGAGGGCCAATTTAAATTGGCCTCTCCCCTCATGGCGTATGTAACCACCACAGCGGCCAAATGGGGGCTCTGGATGGGTGCGAAGGGCTGGTAACCCCTCCGCCTTCAATTAATCCCCACTAAACCACGACGGAAAATGTAATTAATAAGCTTGTGCCGGAGGTCCCGGTGGGAACAAGCGTCTATAACGTCTCCTGGCCAAACCCCATTTGGCGGAGCCAGGAGACTGAATCCTTACCCTCGGGGCTCCTCCAGAAACAACAAAAAACTACTACGTGTGGCCATGTAGAATGTTCAAACGCTCACTGTGGAGGAGAGGCTGTCACTCCTCTGTCGGGAGCTGGACCGGCACTGCCTGGATCTCTGTGGTATTCAGGAGGTCCGGTGGACCGGCTCTGGCTCCTGCCACCACAAGGGGTGGACAGTCCTCTTCTCAGAGTAGGAGACTGCCAAACAAGAGGGAGTGGCTCTACTTCTGAACAAAAGAATGAAGGGGGCGTAGGAGCGTGGCTGTGAGGTGTGGGAAGCTGTAAGCCCCAGGCTACTTTGGGCTCGCCTTCCCATCAACCAGAGGCGAGGAGTGGTGGTCGTGGTTACTTATGCCCCCACCAAAAACGAACATCCGTGGAGGGATGCAGGCACGGCCGATGAGTCAGATGCCTTCTATGACCTCCTGTCACAGGAGCTAGCTAAAGTGGCCACTCGGGATAGTCATCTTGTTGGGTGACTTCAATGTCCGAGTCGGTCATGATCCTGACACCTGGTCTGGAGTGATTGGAAGGCATGGGCCAGATCAGTTCAATAACAACGGCAGGATGCTGCTAGATTTGTGTGCTTGTAATTACCAACATGCTCTTCCGGCATCGGCGCATCCACACAACATCATGGATGCATGCCGGGTCCAAGCAAGAACATCTACTGGACTATATAGTGACGGAACAGCGGATGCGGGCCCATGTCCTTGAAACCAGGACCTACCGTGGAGCTGATCTGCCCACTGACCATCGACTTGTCATCTGTAAGATGCGCCTGCCATTCTTCCACTCCAGTGGTGGGTGTACACCCAGGACCCCATTCAAAACCTTAGTGGCATGGTCTCAGCTAGCTGATGAAAGTTGCAAGTGAGAATTGCATCATCGTTTGCGGCTGGGGTTGGCATCGTCCCCCACTCCTCCTAATGTTGAGGGGAAATGTGCGAGGTTTAGGACTGTGGCTCATGCAGCTGCTATGGCTGCTTTGGGTACACGGTCCAGACCTCCCCAGAGACCATGGCTTACAGAGGAGGTGTTCAAGCTGGCTGAGAAAAAGCGACAGGCCCACTCTCATCGGCTACAGCATCCCACGTCGAAGAATGAGGAGGCTTACCGCAGCCTTCGCTCGGAGGTTTGGAGAGCCATGAAGCGCTGCAAGGATGGGTGATGGTCGCGGGTTGCTGAGGAGATGGAGTCTGCCTCAATGGCCCGCGATCACAAATCGTTATTTAATTCCATCAAAAAGTAACCTGCAGCACCACAGCTATTACTATCATTTGGGGAAATAACGGTGATCCAATCTCCGACCCCCAGGAACAGGTTTGCAGATTTGCTGAGCATTTCTGTGACGTCCTGGGGGAGGGGAAATCCCTCAGCCTGGTAAACAACGTGGGACATGGTGGGGATGACCCTGGCGAGGCTGCGGTGCCTCAAATATTGGAAGAATAAGTAATCACCTGTGAGTGGCTGGCTGAGGTGCCATCTGTTGAGGAAGTACTGAAGGCGATCCAGAGTCTGAGACCAGGAAAGGCACCGGACAGAGATGATCTCCCAAGCGAAATGCTGAGGGAGGGTGGCATCTGTGCACAAACTGCCCTGCATGACATCATAACAACAGTCTGGACCACTGGACAGGTTCCGCAGGATTGGAAGAATGCCCTGGTGGTTCCACTCTTTAAGAAGGGGGATCGCACAGACTGTAACACCTACAGGGGCATCTCACTCCTCAGTGTGCCGGGAAAGGTCCTGGCAAGGATTATTCAACATCGCCTTGCTAGTCACGCTGAGGAGAGGTTTGTGGAGCCCCAATGCGGTTTCAGATGCCATATTTTATGTCTGTCTGCTACAGCAGAAGTGTAGGGGAATTCCAACAAGACCTACATCTCTGCTTTATTGACCTGGTCAAAGCCTATGATACCATCAGTATGCCTGGGATATGGGTTGTTCTTCGTGTTTTTGGAGTCCCTGACCCTCTGCTCACGATCATTAAGGTCCTTCATAATGGTGAGCTGGCCCGGGTAAAACTACATGGCCGGAAGTCGGAGCCATTCCCTGTACACCTTGGGGTGCGACAGGGATGTCCTCTGGCTCCCACATTATATAACATCCATTTCGACCACGTAGTTCGTGAAGCAATCAATAGCTATACCGGAGGAATTTCCGTCTGGTACAGATACAATGGGAGGCTGATCGATGCCCGGGTGCGGTCAAGGGATGGCTCCCTATTGCTCAACCATGTTATGTATGCCGATTATCTGGTAATTGCTGCTCACTCAGAGGAGAAGTTGGAGGCGCTGCTGCTGAACCTGGAGCTTGCCACTAAGAGGTGGGGCCTTACCATCAGCCCCACCAAAACTAAGCACCTGCCTGTGTATTTTGTACCATCGGACACTCCACCCCCACATCACCAAATTTGTGATAGGGCAGTTGTGGAGAGAGTGGAGAGTTTCCCATACCTGGGCAGTGTGCTCATGACCGGCTCCGGTTTAACAGCAGAGGTCTCATTCCGAATCAGTCGAGCAGCATTTTCATTTCATCAGTTGCGTAACACTGTGTGGAAGCTACCTGGTCTGTCGCTCCGCACGAAGCTTCAGGTCTTCTCGGCCACAGTCATTCCTTCCCTTCTCTACGCTTGCGATACGTGGACCTCCCTAATGGAACATCTATCCCAGTTAGAAACATTTAGGCTGGCCTGCCTACAATCCATTCTGGGCTTAACTAGGCAGGGTTGTGTGAGGAGCTCACAAATCCTTGAAAGATCTTGACAAAGTCCCATCGGTGAGCACCTCCGGCAGACAAGGCTGCGTTGGCTGGGCCATGTAGCCCGCATGCCCAGCCACCGCATGCCTAAACAACTTTTTTTCGGCCGTATCGAGGGGGCTAAATGGGCGCGGCACGGGCTAGAGAAGAGATGGAGTGATGTGGTACAGGAGGATGTGGAGCTGATTCGACTTGCCGATGACTGGTACCAGCGGTGTCACGATCGGCCTCTGTGGAGGAGACTCGTGAAGGACGCTACTGGGCAGTTGGAGGCAGTTGCCTTCCAACAACAACGGAGGGCGGCAGAGCAACGCTCACAACAACAAGTGGAGCGCCGGGTGGCTAAAGCACAGCTAGTTGGCACAGTAGGGGGCACAGGTGATACATCAGCCAGTTGTCTCAGTCAGTCGACCTGTGGCATCTGGGTCTGCCCCGTGACCTCCTGCCAGCGGGCGTTCGACACTTCACGTGGCCTCAAGGTGCACATGGCCTGGCACAAGCGTCGTGGTGACGTCACCGCCACTTAGTGGCGAATGGCGGTTGTTGTTGTATGCGTGCGTGTTTGAATCAGTCGAGCGGAATTATCTATTTGGCAAGCGAGGCTGCGCTGGCTGGGTCACGTAGCCCGTTTGACCAGCCACCGCATACCCAAGCAGCTTCTGTTCGACCGGATAGTAGGGCTCAACTGGCGTGGCACAGGTTAGAGAATAGATGGACTGCTGTGTTACAGAAGAATGTGGAGTTGATTGGACTTGCCGATGACTGGTCCCAGCTGCGTCAAGATCGGCCTCTGTAGAGGAGGTTCGTGAAGGATGCTGCTGGGGAGTTGGAAGCAGTCGCCCTCCAGCAACAACGGAGGGGAGAGCATCGACGCTCACAACAACGAACAGAGCGTTGGGCGGTAAAACGCAGAGAGTTGGCACAGTGGGGAGCCCAGGTTATGCATCTGTTAGCCATCTCAGGCAGTCAACCCATGGCACCTGGGTCTGTCCCGTGACCTCCTGCTAGCAGCGAGCATTATACACTTCACGTGGATTCAATAAAGTGCACCTAGCCTGGCACAAGCGCCGTGGTGACGTCACTGCAAGTGCTGTTCGCGAGCACATTTTAAAGCCGGCAAAGCAGACAAGCGGTTGTAGTGGCCAGCACCACGCCCGGCCGCTGTTGTCTCCCCAATGCTGATGTCTACATACTTCACCGGGTACTCTGTTATGACTAAGTCGACATTAGGGAAGGCCCGGGACCCAGTTCAGATATTCGTCACTGATTGTGGCTGTGAATCTAACTTGGGTCGCCGAGTTCATAGCGAAGTGCACTCACCATTGTTGCAACTGTCACTGAGGTGGTAGGTGCTATCACCCTCGTCTGGTATGCAAGGGGCCGTGGGTTCGTATCGCGACCCTGACGCCTGCTGTATATTTTGAGTATGCTTGTTCTTCCCGTGGTCGCGTGGATTTTTCTCCGGGTCCTCCGGCTTTTCCTTCCACATTTAGAATCGACATCACCACGCGTTTAAAGTATTTTGCTGATTTACTGTACATGTACACGGGATGATAAGCCACTTCGTTGAGCTGTCATGTGTGGCCAGGTCACTTCTGAAAAAGAGCTATATAGCTCAGTGGGCTTTACCTGGTGAATATGACATCGTAAAAAATGGTTGGACCGCACATAGATACGCAGACAACCATGTCTTGTTTCTCAACGTAGCTTTAATAAACATTTAAATAGTATATACACGGATGTTAAATCACATTATAAATCTACCTGGAATCGAAGTCATCACACCTTTACGCCACGGATGTATCTGTGCACACGCACGGACAAAAATAAGTGACTTCTAACCCTTATTGATGATTATTATTGTTGAAACATTTCTTAAAGTTCGTCTTATTATTATAACATTTTTAAAATGCAAAACTCAAGGTGCCCCCCATGCTCAAATGAGTGCTGGATTGGTGCTCATCTCCATTGGCCAGTGGTGAGAATTCGACATTCTTAAGTGTAAATGCCATGGGTCAACTCAGCCAATCACCAGGTGAACGGTGGTAATGCTAGGAATGGACTGGCCTGTGCCATGGGAACGTGGAAATGTCCACTGCTAGCCTAGAAACTGCGAATGGAGAGAAGTGCTGTTCGGCACAGTCGTTTGAGCAGAGGGGAGACACTTCGTGACTTTGTCAATGAGAGAACTCATAACGCATTGACCATATAGACTTATATCCATTCATCATTAGACAATGTATATATTTGAAAACGTAATTTTTTTCATCATTTGTTGCAGATTTTTTTTAGGGGGGGCAAGCTGTTTAAATAACATTAAAAATAGCGCGATTTCTTTAGGTCCAAACGACAATACAATTTTATTCAATGTCCTTTACTTAACCACACTGGAGGCGGGGGCGGGGGGGGCTTTTTGGTTCATCGTCTCTGGCAAGGGAGTCCTGGACCATGCTCAAACAGGCAATGAGACAGCAGCCACTCTGCCCGTACTTGTACAGTAATCGTATTTTACAAGTTAAGTGCAATTAATTTGGAATTAATGTAACCAGGTTGGGAGGCCAGGAGGATTTGGTCACCTCCTGCAAAATGAGACATGGCCTGGCTGCTAATTCAAGCTGGGATACCAATATCAATACTCGGTGTTTAACATTTCAGCCGGAAACAATCCGGAACGCTATTCCAGGAATTACATCCGCCACGCCACATCCATCTCTCCTTATATTTGTTCTCATCGTTTTTTTTAACAAACTTTTATGTAGGATTAATATATAGGATACAATCATATAGGATATTATTATGGATATCTGTACCTTGTACTCTAGTGGTAGTGCCTTACGCTGATAATATATACTCCAAGCCAGTGTGGCAGCATTCCGGAAATATTTAGTGAGAAATTAAGCCCTGGTTATACTCGTAGTTATAATGATCGTTTTGTAATGTCAATAAAAAACTCAACTTAATATATTTTTTATTTTACCAGGTAAGGTCTACTGAGCTATACAGCTCTTTTTCAGTCGCGATCTGGCCACAAATGATGGCTCAACGAAGTGGCTCACCACGTGGAAATGTATTACATCCAAATGCTCTAAGCGAATGTTTCTAATTGTGGAGGGACAACCAGAGGAGCCGGAGAAAAATCCACGCGACCACGGGGAGAGAGACACGCAAACTCCGAATATACAGCAGGCGTCAGGGTCGGGATCGAGCCCACGACCTCCTGCATAGCAGGCGAGGTAGTTAACATCTCGCCACCGTGGTGCCCCAATTGAATTCGACTTCGGTTTCAATGGTCTTTATCCAAGTGATCATTGATTTCTTTTACAAATGCGACATGGAGAAATGTTAATGCTATACATGTAACGCTTGACCGCCACCCCCCACCTCTGTGCGATTCAAAGAATTATCACGACGATGTATTGCTCCGTCTCCTTTGTTCGGTCTTGTTTATTTGTCTCAATTGAGGACTGCCCTGGAAAATACTTGACAACCCCCAGCGTCTCGTTGTCCAGAAATCAGGGCTTTTTGTGCTGAGAGTAGGGTGCGTTTAAGTTCATAGGTGCGGCCATCTCCGTTGAGACTATGCAAATAAAAAATCAACTAGAGGGGGCGGAAACGATCTCAACGAAGCACCAGCATGGATTATCTTCACAATACGCACACTGTATATGCTTTTCGTGGGTTCTCATGTTTTTTTTTTCCTGGACAACCCTCATGCAATGTCCCCAATGGCCGAAAGCAAACATCATATAATTATAACATTATATGATTTGCATGCTTTATAAATTATTGATTCTTGGATGCATGACTCGGCATGTACTGTGATGATAAAATTTTATTTTGATCAATGAGTCATCAGTACATGCCTCTGTGGCACGCAGGCAGCTATCGATATAGGAATCTGTATTCATCATAATGAATTTCAATGCCTATATTTATCCAGGTGATATATATCTTTGAGATTAATGATTCATTTTTGAAGGGGGGGGGGGCGGTGGAGACCGTGACGAATATTGGTACGCAGAGACGGTAAATACTGATGAATTTTTATATTTTTTTTGCTAAAGACAATTTTAAATTACCTTCCTTGATTCAACCACGTGAGAGCCTACTTTAGGTTCGATATGCCTTTTCGAGATTTTGTAACATTTCTCTACAATTCAGAATTTGGCTCCCTTTCATTCACACTGGCGGCTCACAGTGGCCAACTCCCCAAGGCTCTGATGCGGTCGCTTGAACAGGGAGACGGGCACAGCCTCATTTGCTTGACCGCTGAAAGCGAGATGAACATCTTGATGAAGAGGCTTGGCAATTTGCCCCCGTTTGTCGATAAACACAGACAACCGGTAGCGTTCATCCGCACAAATAAAACGCACACAATTTTTTTTTAAAACTGGACTCTACCCGCCCCCCCCCCCCTTTTTTAAATGCAATTTTCATGTCGCGATTTCAACATTAAAAATGTAGGTTTAAAAAAACCCGCCCCCCACCAGTTTTTACAACAACAACAACAACAAAATTTGCAATGAGAACTCGCCTTCACAGGGTGTCTAGTCGGTCGAATTTACAGCAGTTACATACGTTTTGATTGTGACTTCAACAAATGCCAAACAAGTGGTGGCCCACGCCATATATATTTTTTACACAGAGGCTCAAGTAATGGAGTGGCTGGCCCAGCTTATAAAAAAATAAATAATTAAATAAATATTAACACCCAGTTATAGTATAGCATTTCTTTTTTTTACTTCTAACATCTTTTAAACGCTTACCATAATTATCATAGTTTAAATCTAAGACTCACGGGAATGTGTGAAGTTTAAACGTGACACGGAGTAAACAACCACACGACTGAAATTTTGGCGGAAAAAAAGTTCTACTTTTGCGAAAAAATAAATTATTCACTGCGGCGAGAACTTTCACAACGAGGGTGATGCGGTGTGCCCGGGAGCCGCGGGGAGCCTGGCACCACCAAGGTCCTGGGTTTGAACCCCGGGTACTGGATGTTTCATAATGGTCGTGCCAGTACAGTGGTCTGGCACCACTGAGATTCTGGTGTCGAGTGCCTGGTTTCGTTATGGCCGTGTGAATAAATGCAACGAATATCACCGAGTTTGTGGGTTCAAGTCCTCGGTCGGTGAGTATCCATCCTCACGGTTTGAGCACTTGGGTTCGAGTCCAAGACTCTCATTCCAAACTGAATTAAATACATGAGTTTAATATAATTTCAATTTTGTGACACAATACAATGCAAGTGTTGTACAATACATTTTTGAATTTGTAAAGTGCCTAAATACATATTAATTGTATATTATCCTGGCTGAGGTTATGAAACTCGCTACAGAAGACAATCTGGGTCACACCATGCCAATGAGGAGTCTGATAATTGAGCCCAGAATCTCAGCGGTGGCTCACATTATTTCAAGACAAAATCCGGACATCATTTTGTTGCTCTTGCAATTGTCTAAAAACGAGCGCACAAGGTTGCCACTCGCAGACATGCAGCACGGTAGACGGAGCAGCCCAAGGGCACGGGGTTGCCGTGCCCAGTACCAACTACGTGCTCTCTCTCTCTCTGCTAGTGGTGACCTTCGCGCTCTCTTGACGAGTATAGCTTTCAGAGGGTTTTCTTCTATAGGCTGTGTTTAAATGCAAAAGCCGGTAAATATTATTGAGGTGGGGTGGGGGGGGGCTTAGCCCAGCCCTCACCACCTTTCGCCTGTGGGTGCTGGCTCAAATCGGAACAAAAGCTACCCTCCGCTCGGGTTAGATAGCCGAGCCGGGCAGTCCCGCGGATCCCACCGAATGAAAAGTCCTCGGCTCAAGCGTGCAGCCACACGAGGTGCAAAGCAGTCTGGGATTCTGATAGCTGTCGATCTGGGGTCTCCTCGATATACGTTCGCAATCGGGGGAACGTCGATCGGCAGCTCTTGTGTTTCCTAAACGAATCCATTGTCTGAGTCGTGTCCGCATCTAAAGTGGGAAGACTCCCAGTAGCACCATTATTAGGCTGTGCACAGCTTATTCATTGTGCAGAGGCCACGATTGGTCTATGGCCAGGTTTCCGTAAAGCGTTTTTGTTGTTGGAAATGTTTATTTGAGGGAGTCACCACGAAAGGTTATACGGTACTTAGGACGTTTTTTTTGCAAAACCGTGGCCTTTGGGAAATCCTGAAACATCCTCCGCCACTTCCCCAAGAGTTCCGCTACAATAGGACAAATGGTGGCAAGGGGGCGATAATTTAACGGCAGCGGCAGTGATACACGCCTGTGAAGCAGCGGACAGTGATACTTTCCTAAAACAACCAAGGCTATTCGGCGAATCCCTCGGTCAAGCTTCACACGGCGAGAGATTGATATTTCTCCTCTGCTACTCCCATAATCCGGAACTTCCTTCCCCCAGCCATCAGAGCTGTCCTCGTGCCTTTTTTTATATTTCCAGGCTCAAGGCCCTGCTTTTTGTCCATCTGCTGATGAGTTGCTGCATGTTTCTCTTTAACATAAATATACTTATTGATTATGTGCAGCATCTTGAGCTGAGGTTGTATCTAGATGCTATACGAATAACCGATTGTATTTTTATGGTTCAGGCTCACTCCTTCTTTAGTCCAATTCCTTACTCGATTGCTTGCCTGTAGTCTCACAATACTCGCATCAACTCGTGATTCATCATTCAAACAAAACCACGCTAAGATGAATCACATTGGGGATTACGAATTAAAACAATGGAAATGTTATCCGCTACTCTCTAATTCTGATCATTACTGCTATGTGCATTTCTAATTACTCTACCACTGCTGCCATCTGTACAAATTAAGAAAAAACTAACAGAGAGGTGTGATGGATGTTTCTCGAGTTCCCATTGTCCATCATATTGTGTTTGTACCGCACCGTAATTTATGGAATCATTGAGGCGTCACCTGTAGGATTCTCCATACTCTTTATTTTTTGGGACTCGTTTTCTTCCTGCGGTTATACCACGTGTAGTTGAGGCAACAAAGTAAGTCTGCCTCGGGCTTTCCAGTCTCGAGTCATAATGCGTGCAGGTAGATTAATAAAGAAACTGGTACGAGCTGGCAGTGGCATCATCACCAGTGCTATATAGAGACCCCATTGACTCAAGCAGCTATAGACTTGCACAGAGTCCCATAGACTTAAATAGAGACCCACAGATTAATACACGAATCCAATGAGAAACTGAAATGCACTGCCTTCGGTTTCATCATCAGTGCTAGAGACGTACAGACTCACTCACATAGCTAGCACAGAGGCCCTTAGACTCACGTAGAGACCAACTGAGAAACTCAAGTGAGCTGGCATTAGCTTCATCTTCCACGCTTTCTCCAGCAGATGGGCGAACGCAGCCTACACAGATTCCCAGGAGAACCTGGTCTGGTAGGGGCCCTGCACTGGTACAGCAGCATCATCATTGTCACCGCACGCTGCCTGTGCTTCAAATATCAATTAGTCCACGTGCACGTATTGTCATCTGAGACTGGAAAACCCGAGATGGATGTTGTGGCCTCGATCTGGAGCAAGAGACTGCCACTGGTAGAAACTGCTGTCTGCGATAGTTGGAAGAGCCTCCCACTGCCAGGCCGCGGGGAACGGTCCTGAAAGAGGCACCGCAGGACTCGCTTTCATCGGTGTCTCTACAATCACGCGACTTTCTTACTCCCGCATCCATCTGGCACTCCTTCACGCTGGCAAATTTAAGTTACAATTTGACCTTTTTTTCATATTCAAATAACGTACTATGTATTAATGTATAAAGTAAAAGAATCACCTTTTATTAAACTATGGTTACACGCATTTCGCCACCAGTATAGGTAACTTTATTGTGTAATCAACATTTTTTTTAATATATATAAAATAGCGGCTAAGGCCGTTTTAGAGCACTGAGCCAGCACTGCTGAACTCCTGAGTTCGAATCCAGAGGCGCCGAGTACAGAATAAACTGTGCAAATCATACCAGGAAGCGATTTGTGTTAAGCTCCGAAATCGCAAAGTGGGAAACCCCCCCGGAGCATTTGTGCAAGTCACTGCCACACAGTGGTTGCTAGAATTACGTCATAACTGCCACTCCACCAGCCAATCAGCTGCAAAGGAAAGTAAATCCTGGTGCAACGTGGCTGTCATCGTTGCATCAAGTCCCTGTGAAACATGGGCATCGTGAAGACATCAAGGCTCCTGTCTGTGGCAAGCTGTAAGTTAATCATGTTTTTTTATGAGTGATCGAGCGTATTACTTTGCGTTGGAATGCATTTATGTGCGTGTGAGAGATTGCATTTTATGTGTTTGTATTTATCGTCTGCCGTGTCGGCCTTCATAGCTAATAAGGTGCTCGCTAACAGTCGGTTAAAAGGCTATATGGGGATATTTTTTATTTATATATTTGTGACAGTATGTGTCTATGCTGTGCGTGTTTGTGTGTATGCTTGCGTGCGAGTGTCTGTTATAGTGTGTCTGTGTGAATTTGTGATAGTGTCTGTGTGCGTGTGTTTGTGAGAGTGCAAGCGTGTGTGGACGTGAATGGCGGAATTGAGTTTGTTCCGCATCACTCGCTGGACCTCTCGTAAATGTGCGCTCCTAACTTTGTGTAAACCCCATAAGGGGGGTCGGAAATGTGGCAAATTGTGGCCTACACACAATGCACAAGTGCAGGATTTGCGTAAGCCGTTCGGTACTCGGGCCCCAGGTTCCGGTCACCCAATGATTCCACGAGATTTGCAAGTTGTACGGCATGCGTTAGACTAGTCACCAATGGCTCCACACCACAACAACAAAACTGTCGTAAAAATGTGGCGTTCTACTGAATGCCGCTCATCCCAGCTGCGAGCGACACAATTTGTACGCGTGGAGTTTGGCCGACTGACATGCGCAGCCCTTCTACAGAGCCCGAAGGCGCACCCATCTCGTGTTGGACGACAGAAGCCAATTTGATCACGTCACGAGACTTCCCTGCTCAAGGAGTTCCAGAAGGAGGTGGTTTCTTTTCCCTATTATTTAGATTGTATTTCAGCAGGAAGGGACCAATATTCTGTTCGGCTTCATTGGCGTCTTGGGACAAATTCCGAGCAGGCATGTAACAATTCACCCCAACAATTCATGGTCGTGGTTCGATTCGAGAATTGATACTTTTTTTGGTTTGTTTAAAAAAATATCTATTTTTCATTTGTTTAGTCTCATTTGTGACATCGGAATGAGATTTGCATAAAGCACAAAAAATAATCGATTAACGCTTGCACAGGTTCGATAACAATATGTATCGTGACCATGGGAATCGTATTTTTGTTTTTAAGTTGAACTCATTAATGGATTGTTACATGCCCAACGCCAACCAACTATGGAACAAAATTGCATTGTTTTGTCATTGGTCTCTTTCCTGTCATGGTTTTCACCAAACGCATTGAAGGAAAAACGCTTTTCGGAAACCCGGCAAGCTACATACGGATGCTCTGCGGCACCGCAGACTGCAGCTCAAGGCAGGGCGGGAAAGCGGGAGTGGGGAACCAAAAACAAACAGAAAAGAACGCATAGTTGTAACGAGGAAACTATTTGTAGGAAATTGGTCCGAACGATGACTCAGGGAATGAAGGAGGATGAAAGAGGGAGAAGGAGCGCAGGTTCGTGACGCGTACGGATATACAAGAACAAGACGGCAAACTCACTCACACAGGAACGCTCACCACCGGAGAACACCGTCACTCGGGGCTTCATTTCCATCGGGGTCAGCGACCCGGACAAATATTTTCATATCTGGCAAAACCACATCCAGTATACCTCACTTAGGCCTTCGTACAAACCGTTGCCACCACCCATTTCTACTCGTTCCGTCCCAAGGACCACTCTAGTCTACCAACGGCCCGGAAAATATTCAACGAGAAATGAAGCCCCTGTCGACGTTTAAAACCCTGCACAGCGGGACGCATCCAAACGCCCCCTTGTCTTGACACTTCGGTTCCGCGTCCATTATTTTAGGGGTCGGAACACGTTGAGATTACTTATTAGCGCGGTCGATGGGAATGTTTTGCACGTGTGCGTTACGGAGAGAGAGAGACCATCTTTGTCTCGTTTGATCTGATATTCGGGTCTTGGGTCGAGGAACCGGGAGGTATAAGAGGGTTAAAGGGGTTGCCACCACCAACACCGCTGCTGCCACCGCTCACAGTCTCTCCCGCAGAACACTCAACTCATCTCTGCCCCAAACCCAGCAAAAAAATAAATTTAATTGCACGTATATAATATATCTTTTTTTTCGAGAACAATATGAAGTGCAATCACAAATTACCATTGGCGACTGATATAAATAACCAAAGGTTTTCCCCAGGTCCAAAGATAACTATATTTGTAAAACTCTAAAACTAATTAAGGCTCATAACCGTTCGCATCAAAATTATGGCGTTGATGTTCGAAGCCATGTTGGCGTGCTATTGTAAGAGTCATGTTGGCGTGCTATTGTTATTAAGAGCCGTGTTGCTGTGCCATTGCTATAAAGAGCCACGTGGGTGTGCTATTGTTAGGAGCCATGTTGGTCTGCTATTGTTAGGAGCCATGTTGCTATGCTATTGTTGTTAAGAGCCATGTTGGTTTGCTATTGTTATTAAGAGCTACGTGGGTGTGCTATTGTTAGGAGCCATGTTGGTCTGCTATTGTTAGGAGCCATGTTGCTATGCTATTGTTGTTAAGAGCCATGTTGGTTTGCTATTGTTATTAAGTGCCACGTGGGTGTGCTATTGTTAGGAGCCATGTTGGTCTGCTATTGTTAGGAGCCATGTTGCTATGCTATTGTTGTTAAGAGCCATGTTGGTTTGCTATTGTTATTAAGAGCCACGTGGGTGTGCTATTATAGGCAGCCATGTTGGTCTGCTATGGTTAGGGACCATGTTGCTGTGCTATTGTTATTAAGAGCCATGTTGGTTTGCTATTGTTATTAAGAGCTATGTTGGTGGTGCTATTGTTATTAAGAGCCATGTTGGTGGTGCTATTGTTATTAAGAGCTATGTTGGCATGCTATTGTCAAGAGCTGTGTGAGTATTGATTTCAGTTAAGGGCAAAGAAACAGAAGGTAAAACGTAATTTTCGTCTTGCGGAATCCACACCTCAACTGCAGAGAGGGGGGGGGGGGCGGTGGGAGTTTTGTGAGCGTGAACCAAACCTTCAGCTAACTTGAACAGGTATCCAACTCCAACCGCAGTGTCCACTCAGGGCACAACAGCCGCCCTCCCTTGAATGGAGTGTGCGCAGCGGGGTTATCAAAGTGACATAAACGTCTATGAGTGTAAACATCATATTCACTATTTTAAGATCACTTGAATAATAATCTAAACACAGACGTCACATAATAGATGTGTGCGAACGTGCACGCTTGGGTGCGTGCATGAATATGTGTGCGTACTCTCTGCTACGTCTGTCTGTCTCGTCTGTACGCCTGTCTGTCTGTCTATAAGTTGCTCAGCGGAAGAAGTTGGGGTGTTGCTTAATGATGGGAGTGGTGCTTAAACTCTCTGTGGCAGTGCCATCGAGTTGGCACCGCTGATACCCTGATTTCGAATCCCGTTCTCCCTACCTGCACGAGTTTGACGAACCATGCGTGCACAACCGTTCACTTGTGTGTGCTGTTGTTTGCTCGCCAGCTGTCTGTCGTCCCGTCGTGTGTCCAAGGCTGGCTCAGCCATTCGTTTGTCAGTCCGTCCTTCTAATCTGAGCTGTGTCTCCTCCTTAAGTGTAAATCCATTTATTTAAGTCTTAGCTGACTCTCTCTTTGTCATTAGTGCTCTGTCTGCCATCTGTTAATCCATCCTAACCACTGATCCTTAGTGATTTATCCATCTTAGCCATCTGTTTGACTCTCCGACTTTTTAAGTCTTGGCTAACCATCAGTCTTAGCAGTCTGCCTGCCTATTTTGGCCATAAATTTGTCCATCTTTCTTAGACCTTGCCCTCCGTTCATGTGTTCGTCCTCGTGTAAACTGTTAACCCATCCGTGTGCCTATCTGTGCGTCCATCCATACTTCTTAGTCCTAACCGTAGCCTTAGCTGCCGAGACATCAATTGTCGCCATCCATCTGTCCGTTCATCTTTTTTTAGTCTTTGCCAACTATTCACGACTCATCCCTCCCTTGGCCTTCCAACCACATTTTTAGTATCTGCCAACTATCTGTCGGCTGTGCATCCATCCACCCGTTGTAATCTTAACCATCCATATGTTTAAGCCGTCCATCCATCCATTTGTCCGTCTGTCCATCTGTCTGTCTGTCAGTCATTTGTCCTACCATACATTAAGCCGGTCACCCATACACACCCTCTTACCCTGGCCCCATCTACCCGAGCTCCGTCTCATCCGTCTCTGCGTGCAGGGGCTCAGGGATTGTAGGTAGCCTGCGAGGGGGCCCCCCGGTAGCCGGACTGGGCGAGCAGCAGGCCTGAGGCCGAGGCCCGGCCTTGAAGAGGCCCTTGGTGTGGCCCTGCCTCGGGTGGGGGCGTGGTTTCATGAGGCCTCCCTGGGGCCTTGCGACCCCAGGAGGCCTGCAGAGGCTCACGTTGGTGTTGGCCTGGGGGTTGGACACGGGGTTAGAGTGTGGGTTCGGGGCAGCACTGGGGTTAGTAAATGCAGTGCTTGGGTTGCTGAGATTTGCACCGGGGTTACAGTGGGGGTTAGAATTTGGGTGAAGCCTTCCCGGGTTAGTGCTGACATTGGGCCGGTAAGCTTTTGGGTTGGCATTAGGGTTGGGGTCGAACCGCGTGTGCCCGGGCTCGGTGCCCTCCAATGGGTATGGGGTGCCCGCGTCGGCGTCAATGCCGGGGTCAGGGCCAGGGTAAGGACCGGGCCTGAGGACTGGCCGGGTGGCACCAAGGCTGTTGTCGGGGGACTTGGCAGTCGTCCCCGCGTCGGGGCCGGCACAGCAGGGTGCGGTGCAGGGCGGTAGTGGTGCACCTCGCTCATAGCGTATGCCGCTGTCACCACCGCCGCCACCACCAAAATCGGCTTCGTCATAATCGACGTCGCGGCTGAACGGCACCGTGAACTCTGTCTCGGCGCAGCCCCGGCCAGTGCCCGGAGGTGGCCGTGGATGCTTGGCCTCGTAGGCCGAGGCCTTCATCCCCCCACCTTGATCCCCGGCTTGACTTGACGACGACGACGAAGATAACGATGACGGAGGAGAAGACACGGGCTGCTTAGCGAGGGATTTCGACGTTGCCAGGGGCTGCCCGACAGACAACGGCGCCAGCTTGGATGTTTTAAAATCTTTGAGCGAGAGGCTCTCCGGAGGCTTGCCCGCCGAGGCCGACGAGATGGACGAGGAGGACGAGGACGAAGAGGAGGACGACGCTGAGGATGACGCCGATGATGACGATGAAGAGAAGGCCCCCAGGCTCTTGCCAAAGGTGGAGAAGGGGCCACGTGATTGGGCCAACGGCACTCGCTCAACGCCAGACTTTTCTGCCGGCTCCTCTGGCGCGCGGGTTCGTACTCCCACGGTCTTGGGAACCTCAGGCTGTGGCTGCTGCTGCTGCTGGTGAAGGTGGTGGTGATGGTGTTGGTCGGGCGGCTGGTGGCTGTGCTGTTGTTGCTGCTGTTGCTGCTGCCGGTGGTGAAGGTGGTGTTGGTGGTGGAGGTGGTGGTGGAGGTGCTCGTCGTGGGGCATCCAGCACGAGTCCGAGTGGCCCATGACGCGGCACTCATCCGTGCAGCGGACACCGACTTTTTCTGCGTGGTGCGGGGTTGGGAGTGGTGGGGGGTGGAGGTGGGGGGAGGCAGCAGCTTCAGGATTTGATACAGGTATTGGGGTGAGCACTCAGGGTTCGTGTCCTGTGTGCGTTCTGCGTGTTGCACGTGTCCCCTGTGTCTCGTGTGTAATGTGTGATGCGTGTGCCCCACCACCTATGTGTCCCTCGTGTGGCCCTGGTGTGTCTCCCGGGTGTCTCCCCATGTGGCCCCCATGTATGGCCCCGTGTGTGTCCCCCTGTGTGTCCCCCTGTGTGTCTCCGTGTGTGCCTCCGTGTGTACCGTGTGGCCCGTGTGTGCAGGGCGGGCCGTGCGTGGGGCCGTCGGCTTCGCTGAGCGACCCCCGTGCCGTGTCCGCGTCACTGTCCGCGCCCGTGTCGCTGTCCCCGTGTCCGCTGTCCTTGAAGCTCAGCCTGTCTGCCTCGCTGTACACATCATCATTATCACCATCACAATCACCACTACCATCACCAGTCCTGTCAACATCGAAGGCATAATCAACATTACCAAGGTCAGTGCACGTCCGCCCTGATGTACAAATAATCACCATCGCCGACACCATCGTCATCAACAACAACAGCCATTCGCCACTAAGTGGCCATGTGCACTTTGAGACCACGTGATTTGTTGAAGGCTCATTAGCAGGAAGTCACGGGACAGACCCAGGTGCCATGGGTTGACTGACTGAGATGACTGGCAGATACACTATCTGTGCCCCCTACTTTGCCAACTTGCTGTGTTTTAGCTGCCCGGCACTCCTCTTGTTGTGAGCCTTGCTCTCTGCCCTTCGCTGTTGTTGGAGGGCAACTGGGAGGATTGGGATAGGGGGCTACTGGCCCTCCCTAATTTTTTGTCTTTTTCTATTATTGTTTTCCTTGAGTTCATTTGTTACCTAATCATAATTTTAGGACACGATAACGCTCATTAAAGATGCTCCAATATGACCAAAGCTCTTGCACACCATTTCGTTACTATCGCGTTACTATTGGGGATGATTAAAAGTGGCCACATTGACCGAAGCGTTGGCAAAAACCACGCTGGTGATCGCGCACCGCCTCTACACGGCGCAGAGCGCCGTCACCATCGCCGTGCCGGAGGGCGGCGCCGTGACCGAGACGGAGCAGCCACGAGGAGCTGCTGCCGCGCCAGGAGCTCTGACTTCAACCTCACCCACGCACAGGTGCCCCCACCTCCACCCTCCCTTTTTCCTTCACCCCCCCTTCTCCCTCCCGTGCGTACCTGCGTGCACAGTGCGTACCTGCGTGCACAGTGCGTACCTGCGTGCACAGTGCGTACCTGCGTGGAGGATTTCGGGCCCCCAAAGCCCCTGGGTCCAGGTACTTGTGAGTCCTCTGAAAAAAATCGTAACATGTGACCAGTCAGTTACTCAACAGAGTCGAGGGCAGTTTAACATGTAGTCTCGGGCCCAATCAGGTGATTTAAGTTCATAAGCTAATCAGAGTCTTTGGTGACTGAAATGTTGTTACCTGTCTACGAGCTGATACACGTGTGCTGGGTTATGGCAATTATGCGAAATCTTAACTAGGGAAGATCCATCTCAGTTGAATGAACAGTTTAATGCACTTCATAGGACCTCCTTTGCCAGGACCAAAACATGAGAATAGGTTTTCCCCTTTTTTCTGGTAACAAAACAGGTGTTGAGATGTTAAAACACCAAATTGAAACATTTTACAAGGATTCGTGTCTGCATTAACCACAATACTTGCGGTCAGAATGCAAAAAAAAACATACTCCAAAAGGCGTCCTCTGGTATAAAACCGTTTTGAGACGAAGCTCAAAAGAAAGCTGTCTCTGGTGTGGACCAATCAGTTTCAAGGACAATGCATATATTATCAGAGTATGTTTTTTGTTTGCATTCTGACCACAAGTATTGTGGTTAATGCAGACGTGATTCCTTGTAAAAGGTTTCAGTTTGGTGTTTTAACATCTTAACACCTGTTTTGGCGCCAGACAAAAGAGGAAAACCTCTTCTCAGTTTAATGCATTGTTATGATAAATAAATCAAATTAAATTATTCAGATGCTGGGGCCTTTCTCACCTGGTCCCCATGGGTGGGAGAATTAAAGCTCTTCCCAGCATCTTTAATTAAACTTCAATTAGCGCGGAGCACTGCAGCTCGTTAGGCCAATTATGACGCACGCGCCAGTGTACGATCTGTTTTTGCTGGACCAGTGAAACACACACGCACTCTGCTCGCACCATCACTGCTAACACACGCACACAGCCACACGCACACAGCCACATGCACACAGCCACAACAACAACAACTGCCATTCGCCACTAAGTGGCGGTGACGTTACCACGACGCTTGTGCCAGGCCATGTGCACCTTGAGGCCACGTGAAGTGTCGAACGCCCGCTGGCAGGAGGTCACGGGGCAGACCCAAGTGCCACGGGTAGACTGACTTAGATGACTGAGATGACTGGCTGATGCACCACCTGTGCCCCCTACTGTGCCAACCTGCTGTGCTTTAGCCACCCGGCGCTCCGCTCGTTGTTGTGAGCGTCGCTCCTCCGCTCTCCGTTGTTGTTGGAGGGCGACTGCCTCCAACTGCCCAGTAGCATCCTTCACGAGCCTCCTCCACAGAGGCCGATCTTGACACCGCTGGTACCAGTCATCGGCAAGTCCACTCAGCTCCACATCCTCCTGTACCACATCACTCCATCTCTTCTCTAGCACGTGCCGCGCCCGTTTAGAATCCCTCGATCCGGCCGAACAAAAGCTGTTTAGACATGCGGTGGCTGGGCATGCGGGCTACACAGCCTTGCCTGCTGGAGGAGCTCACCGATGGGACTTTGTCCAGATCCTTCAAGGATTTGTGAGCTCCTCACACAATCCAGCCTGGTTAAACCCAGGATGGTTCGTAGGCAGGCCACCCTAAATGTTTCTAACTGGCGAAAATGTTCCATTAGGGGGGTCCACGTTTCGCAAGCGTAGAGAAGGGAGGGAATGACTGTGACCGAGAAAACCTGAAGCTTAGTGCGGAGCGACAGACCAGGTAGCTTCCACACTGCGTTACGCAGCCGATGAAAAGATAATACCGCTCGCCTGATTCGGAGTGAGACCTCTGTTGTCAAACTGGAGCGGTTCATGAGCACACTGCCCAGGTATGGGAAACTCTCCACTCTCTCCACAACTGCTAACACACACACAACGACACTCACACTACTCACACCATCACTGCTCAGACACAGCCATACCCACACTGCTCACACCATCACTGCTAACACATTCACCCAGCTGCACATGTGCCCACAATAAAGTGAAAGATCCCCTGTAATAGCCTTTAAGCAGACTTTTGAGGCATGGGCTGTTAGCGAGCGCCCATTAAGGCTGGCACAGCACACAAGGGGCCTGGTGTGGTCAGAACGGCGCCCGACTACCGTTGTCTCCCCAGTGCTGATGTTTACACGCTGCACCAGGTACATAACTCATTTATGGCTCAATGACCGATGAGGATGAGGTGGATCTATCCGGTGGGTGTTGAGAAGGTGTACGAGAAAGTGGATGAGCAGCGGAGGTTGAGGACGAGATGCAGGCGGTGGAAGATGTGCACGAGGAACTCGAGCTGTCGTCGGAGGAGCAGGAGAACGAGGAGAACGATGAGCAAGAGGAGGTGCAAGTTGAAGTTGGAGGAGGAGGACGTACAGAATGTGCATGAGGAGGGAGTCCAGGAGGAGGGAGGAGGAGATGCAGGAGGCAGTGCCGTTACTCTGACAACGAATTAAGCATCGGGAAACGTGAATTAATCTCCGCCACTGGACCACACCGCTTCAGCACCGGCGATAAATCTTGCTGCTGGGAGGGAAATTTGCGCAAGTAAACGGCAATTACCACGCGGCAACGCGGCGCTGCGACGACTCGCGCTGTGAGACTACGGTTAAGTGGTTCTCCATAAGGTAATAAACTAATAATAATAAATAATACAGAAATTATTTTTTTGAAAATAAACAAAAGTAGGTAAGGACAATTAGACTAATTAATCACCAAAAGTCAACAATATTGTAATGAACGCATTGTTTTCATAATATAATATGTTCCAAACGTATTTATTTTAGGCCAATACGTGGATCAATTAAAATGTCGTGATCACCGATCGGCCACGATCGATCCACTGCTAAAGGCCTCCCCCCCCCCCAAGTTGTTTTTTTGTTGTTTAACCAGCTGGTGAGAACTCAAAAGGCCAGGATAAGCCGGTCTCATTTTCAAGAGTGACCTGCGTCGCTAAGATAACAAAGAGCAAAACAAAATAAAATGAAGCAACGGAACGAATAAAAATTGGAGCAAAAACAACGGCGTCACAAGAGGATTTGAAAACAGTGCACAGACATAAATCAGTGTTAAGTAAAAACATACATTTCCTGTCACGAAAGTTGCCATGGACAAATTAAATTTCCGCTTTCGTCGTAAAGGAAGAGTCATCCGCAAATATGGAAAAATGGCTTTCCTAATATCTCCGGGATTCGGACAGAGCGTTTTATGGCAGAGTTCATCAGGTAGAGTTTTCGAGCTCACACAAAGGCTTCCAAAACGCTACCAAGTTTAAGATCGTTCAGGAAAACTAAGAAAGCATGAAACCCCCAAATCCTACGATCACAGCAATCCGAACGCACCCAATCTGATCGGATCTCAGAAGCTAAAGCAGCTGTGAGGCTGCTTAGTACCCGCATGTTGTAGGCGTGGGGCTGTGAGATGGCCGGGAAATTTTGCAGCACAGCAATGGATTCCTATCATCTTCTTTCGTCTGGCAAGGTGACATTTGCAACGCTGTGTGTGGATATCGAAGTTATTGTGCCACTCAGTAGTCTCCGGAAGCTCGGTGGATCTCGGTGATATTGTCCGGGAATCGCCAGTGTGGGCAGTGTTGAGTGATCTGATCCATGATGTGAGTCGTCGGTGTCGTGAGCAGTGATGGACCATGTAATCCATGGTCTGTGAATCGCCGGTGTCGTGAGCATTGATGGATCATGTGATCCATTGATCTGTGGATCGGTGTCGTGGGTAGTGTTAGATCATGTGATCCATGGTCTGTGAATCGCCGGTGTCGTGAGCATTGATGGATCATGTGATCCATTGATCTGTGGATCGGTGTCGTGGGTAGTGTTAGATCATGTGATCCATGGTCTGTGAATCGCCGGTGTCGTGAACATTGATGGATCATGTGATCCATTGATCTGTGGATCGGTGTCGTGGGTAGTGTTAGATCATGTGATCCATGGTCTGTGAATCGCCGGTGTCATGAGCATTGATAGATCATGTGATCCATGATCTGTGGATCGGTGTCGTCATCCATGGTCTTATAATCTATAAGACCATGGATCACATCTACTGTATCTATACTTGATCACGTATAGTTAGTACGGGTTGGTGAAAGTGGACACCCAGGACCGATTCAGATACCACTCACTAGTAATGTTAACCTTGGGCAGGAATTGAAATCAGGTTGTTGAGTTTATAATGCAATGTGCTAACCACTGTGCCACCGCTCCACGGGCTACAAAAGCCACTTTCTTATGTTGTGAGTTGTTGTTTTCATAATATAAGGCAACCTTGGGATGGTTTTGTTCAGTGTCTCTGACACAGCTATTATGAACAAGGGCTTGAATCCAGGACCTCAGTAACGCTGGATAGTGTCTCTGAAACGTCCATTATTATGAGATCCCTTTGAGATTCTGACGCCCAGACCTAGGATTCGAACCCAGGATCTCACGCAGTGCTGATCATTGTCTCTGACACGGCCGTTATGAACTTCCCGGCACGCCCAGCTTCTCCTGTTATGGGAACGTCTTAATGTGCCTCTGATGTGGACGGGTCTGTCTTCCGCTATTTACCAGGTGATTCATTATTAAACGCTAAGCTGCCACGAGGCCACTTTACTCCCAGTTCATCAATATCGCTTATCGCCTCTCCGTCTCCGACACTGAGAGGACTTGTTTTGTCTCTGAAAAATTCACGAGCAACACCTTTGTCGCCAACAATGTACATGTAAACACACACAAACACACGATACCCATACAGAGTTGCATACCCATATATACCCACACAAGGAAAAAGATCCCCCGCATATCCTCAACAGGTTGTTCAGGCAAGTGCTGTTGGCGAGCACCTATGTCAGCCGACACGGTGCACGATGGAGTGGTGTGGCCAGAAACACGCCCAGACGTCTTTGTCTTCCCGGTGATGGTGCGATGCTTACACACCACACCAGGTACTCGTACCAACATCCATACAAATACATAAACACACACACACAGGTCCTCACACACGTTCACACAAACGCACTCACACGTGTCGTGAGGTTAACTCAATATTAAATGGGCACATGGTGCAGTTACATGACCCCTGTCCTGCCCATATCCCGATTCTTCAGGGTTCTACCATTGGCTGCCCAAAGGTCCACAAAGGCTCTGGGGATTGCCTATGCTAGAGGTATGGCTCAATTAGATGTAAAGAGGCACAGCTTGGTGAGATGAAAACGACATAAATTAGAGAGATGAGTGGACTAGAGAAGAGAAGGCCTGATCGGTTATCTAACGTGTAGAGACCCTATGATGTCATGATGCTCTGTGATGTCGTAACATCACGTCATGTAGCCCACCAGCACAAACATTGGAACGTTGGTCCAACGTTGGTCCAACCGTTTCAACCATATGCCACTGTTGGCCAAATGTTGCATGATTACTTGGTTGCGATATTCCATGCAACCTTATACCACCTCGACGCCTGTACCATCCATAGGCTTGCGCCATTTGCCGCCCATGTGTGTGTTTACGTGAACGAGTGTATGGCCGTGGGTTTTGTGTTTGTTTTTGCCGGTGTGGGTAGCAGTGGGGCAGTGGTTAGCACAGCGCAATGCGACCCGAGTTCGATTCCCACTCAAAGCCAACATGGTGACGAATACGTCAACCGGTCGTGGGTGGACCTCGCCTAGGTCGACTCGGCCTTAAATAAGTACCTGGTGCCGTGTGTACACATCCACATTGGAGAGACAAAGGCGGCCAGGCGTAGTGCTGGCCACCCACCTGCCTCGTATGCCATGCCGGCCATCATATGCGCTCGCTAACTGCACTTGCCACAACAGTCTGTTACAGACTAAACGAGGAGGATCTTTGTCTTTGCTTATGGCGGTACCGCTTGCTCAGGTCCCACAGGCAGGAGGTCCGGCTGGCGGCTCCCGCACGCGGCGCCGTCGGTGCGGACGGCGTAGACGGAGGCCCTGCGCTCGCCCGCGCCTGGCCCCCCCGTGCCCCCGCCGGCGCCTCCTCCTCCTCCACTGCCGCCGCCGCCGCCGCCGCCGCCCTCCTCCTCCACGTCCTTGCACGGGACGGTGGCCTCGTCCGCCTGCCGCGTCATGGTCAGCTCCGACGGTAGTAGCGAGCGGTACACACTGGGCTCTGCGTGCACGCACGGCACCGCTGTGGTCAGCGCCGCAAACGTCCGGATCGTCGCGTCACGTCGTCGACATCGTAAACGTTGTCGGCGTCATGCAAGTCACCTGCACTAGCAGCAGCATCATCATCGTCAGTGTTGTCTACGTCGTCGCGTCATCCATATCGTCCGCATCATCGGAATGGTTCACATCATCAACTTCTTTCACATCGTCGGCATCTCGCAAGCCCTAATCTGCTGATAAGACACCGCAGCGTTACAGAGTTTTCTCGTATTAAACTAATGCTGCCAGAAGTCCATGTGGCCAATGGGGTTTGTAAATTTTAGATTTCTTTTGAGTGTGCTTCATAGTATTATTACCTATACACATATTCTCAACGATACTTAATTATAATTATATCAATTTACATCTGTGTTTTTCTTCTCAAACCTGAATCCTAACTGAAATCAAGAACATAGATAATTATTGGTGATGAAAGAACAGAGCCCGAGGTGCATCGAAAGAGATTAAGGAGAGACGCGCAAACATGTATCATATGCTACGTCAAAGATCCAGTCTCAGAACTAAGCCAAGAGATGTGAAGTGCTGGCAAGCACTCGCTGGAGCAGATAAATTAAGTAAATTCGATCATATCTTGAAATATACATCACACACGAAAGACATTCCGGGCATCTTCTATAACAGGAATTGACGTGCGACGCCAACTCGCGAATTACAAACTGTTGGCTCAACAAGCAAGTTTTTCTAAACGATGACCCTCGTTTTGAAGGCCAAAAACAGCGGGACTAGCACACGTGTCTGCAAGTGAAGAGTCCTCGGGGCGTGGTTGCACTCCGTTCGCTCTCGATTACTCGGGCGACAATATGGTGGAGGCGGCGCTGGGTATGATCAACCACACAGCCCCCCCGGCAGGGTCACACAAAAAGGATCCTCGAAGAGGCCACCAGTGGCAGCGCACGTGACGAATGTCTCCGCCCCGCCTGGGTCCGGTGGCCAAGAGCGGCAGCTCCCGTGACCTCTCTGGACCGGCGCGCCACCACCGTTGACCCTCGAGCATTTTTCACTGAGCACCGTGCACCACCAACATTTCCCCCCCCCTTGAATTAAAACTATTCTTAATAGCAACAAAAAAACCCGCGGTGAAATGTTAATCAAATATGCATTTGAATAAATGCAAACACACACGGACATTCGGATGTGATATCGAAACATATCGTTTTTACCTTCGAAGAATGAGGGTGAAGACATGGAATGCGTTCGTCTTGTTTGCTGCTTCATAAAGTAATCGGTTTACTTACGGTCGGTCGTGTTTGCGGTCACATGGGTACTGACCCGTGACGAATGAGCGGCAGCTAATAATTAAACCAGGGTGCGTATAATTACAATTCATGTATATATTACGAAAGGTGTCATGGGTTGGAGAGGACTTCATCCAGCAGTGGATGGGTCATGGACGATAATGATGATGACAGATACTTGGAGGTGGTCAAGAGATAACTGCTTTGTGGTCAACCATTTATTGCTTGCTGTTGACCTGGTAATTGCTGCCCATTATGAAAAGCAGTTGGATACTCTGTTGTTGAACCAGGAGCTCAGGGGCCTTACCGTCAGCTCCACCAAAACAAAGCTCCCTCACCTCTCCAGGTGTCATGCTATAGTTGTGGTAATGATGATAATGATGATATCTAGAACCCGGCTCATGTACTACACCGCCACTCCCTGCGCCGCTGTGTCTGCACGTTCACCCACCTCGTCCCAGTGGTGGCGTGACGGGCTTCTCACACGCCCCGACGTCCCTCTCCCGCTCGCGCCTCCGCTCACGCTCCCGCCTCCGCTCGCGCCTCCTCTCGCGCTTGCTGTGTCCGTCCGCGGGCGGCCGCGCCTTGTGGTGCTTGCAGCGCAGCGCGATGGCCACCATCGCCATGAGCAGCGCGAACGACACCGCGCCCAGCGCCGCGATGATCACAAATGACGTGGCGAAGGCCCTGCCCCCATCGTCGTCGCCGGTGCCGCCCCGACCGCCGGCGCCGGCGCCGCCAACACCACCGATGCCGACGCCGACGCCACCGCCGTCTTCATAAATCCGGTGGTCGCCCTCTCCGCCAGCGTCGCCTACTCCAGCGTCAGGCCCTGCCTCGGGGTCGGACACGAGCACGGTCACGGTGGCCGTGGACGTCACCGCGGGCGCCGAGGAGTCGGAGACAGCGGCGGCAGAGGTGGAGGCGGCGTCGCAGCCGGCGCCGCAGTCCGTGGCAGTGACGAGGAGGCGGAACCGCGCGGCGCGACGCGGGAGGTCGCGCGCCGCCCTCACGTCGCCCAGGCGAGGGTCCACGCGGAACCAGCGCGCCTCGTTCCCCGCCGCGATGGCGTAGCGCAGCCCCGAGCTGGTGCCCACGACGTCGGAGGCGCCCCCCTCGCCTCCGCCGGCCCCTGCCCCGGCGACGCTTTCGTCCACGCCGTCAACGTCGTCGAAGCCGTCGGGATCGCGGGCGCGCAGGCGCAGGACAAGCGAACCCGCGGGCAGCCCTGCCCGCGCGCTCACCACGGCGCTGCGGTTGGCGCCCATGTCGGGCGACACGAACTCGGGCGCCGCGCGGTCACCGCCGTCGTCGACGGCACCGTCGCCCACCACGAGCACGGTGACGGCGGCGGTGGCCGAGAGCCGCGGGTGACCTCCGTCGCTCGCCGCCACGCCGAACAGCAGCCGGCGGCGGCGGCCGCGGTCGAAGCTGCGCAGCGCATACACCGCGCCGCTCGCCGGGTTCACGGACACGTAGGTGAAGGCCGGCATGCCGTCCAGCGTGGCCTCCACCAGCGAGTAGGAGACGGCCGCGTTGGCGCCCTCGTCGGGATCGCTGGCGCTCACCGAGCCCAGGTAGGCGCCGGGGATGTTGTTCTCGCCAACGCGGAACACGTAAGAGGGGCGCGAGAAGCGCGGGGCATTGTCGTTGACGTCGGCGAGGCGTACCGAAAAGGTCGCGGTGGATGACAACGGCGGATCGCCGCCGTCCGTCGCCACCACCGTGAGGTTGATGAGCGCCGGCGTGTGCAGCGGCGGCTGCTGCTGCTGCTGCTGCAGCTGCTGCTGGTGGTGCTGGTGGTGGTGGTACGGTCCACCGGTGCCGGCACCGGTGGCGGCAGCGGCGGAGCCAGTGGCGAGGCCTACGAGGCTCTCGCGGTCAAGCGGCCCAGAGGTGACCAGCGTCCAGTCGTCGCCTGACGGGCGCAGCTCAAACGGGAGCCGCATCGGCATCGTCGCCGCCGTCATGACCGTCGTTGGCGATGACGAAGAGGAGGAGAAGAGTGGGGGGGCGGTGTCGGCGAGGGTGCACGTCACCTGCCCGTTGGGGCCCGAGTCGCGGTCGGTGGCGCGAATGAGCGCGAGCAGCGTGCCGGGCGGCGCCCCCTCCGACACCGAAACCGGCTCCCCTGGGCCCGTGCTGCGAGCCAGAGGCATGATCTGTGGAGAGGAGGGGTCAAAGCCAAGGTCCAAAGGTCACCACAAGGCTGTTGATGCCACCACATCCCGACACCGCATCCTTTCTTGCTTCTGCCGGACACCTCGGCTGTTGCGCAGTCTACACTTGACCTAGAGGGTCCGATCTTACGTTTCATCGTCATTGCTATGGTCAGTCCACTCCAGATTGAGGGCCTCCCTGAGCTGTTCGAAGGCCTCCTCAAGCTTAAATGTGCAGCTGCTGCGGTGCGACACATTAGCACCTGTGGCACATTAGGAATGGACCACTCTTTTAATAAGTCCTTATGTGCTGTGCAGTACATCAATGCACGTGTGTACACCAGCATGTGATGACTGAGTTGGACCTTTGATTAACCGGACGTGTTCACCAGTCACGTGGTTAATGGCGACTCGGTTGACGATTGCTGTGTGTGACACCACGTGCTGTTGCATTTTGCAGATGAACCACAATAAATGTGTTTGTCCTCGATTTGGAGCACCTGCCCACGTCCTTCATTTCGAGTGTGCAACGCACTGGGGGAGGAACAAGGTGGCTGGGCACTGTGTCGACCACACCACCCGCTGGAGCGCTGTGCCGGCCGTCATAAGTTGCTCCCTAACAGCATTTTCCCCAACAGTCTGCCTACGGAGGATCTTTGTCTTCGTTATGTACCTCGCCGTATGAGTGTGAATGTGTGTGCTGTGTGTATATAGGTCGACTGAGCCTCAAATGAGTACTTGGTTGAGTTGTGTAAACATTGCCACTCGGGAGACAAAGGCGACCAGGTGTGGTGCTGGCTACCCAACCCCTTGTTTGCTGTGCAGGCCTTCATAGGTGCTCACTCATAGCACTGCTATGAGCTATACGGGGTGGGAGGGGGGGGGTCTTTATCTTTGTGTATATAATACATGTATTGAGTTTGTGTGCATATATAGACGTTTGTATGTCTTTGTGTATATAACGTGCATGTATGTTGTGCTGTGAGCATGTCAAATTTTACTTCAGTTTAAGTTTAATGGGCTTGCACAGATGCTGATGGAGCAGCCACTCGGGATTTGAGTGTTGGTGTTTGTGCCAATCGAAATGAAATCTGAGAACCCAAGATTGATAGAACAGTGTAGCGGTGTTGCGGTGGCTATCGTATTGCGCTATGAACCCAGCAACCGGAGTTCGATTCCTGGCCACAGATAACATCAGTGGTGAGTGGTATCTGAACTGGTCCTGGGTTCCCCCCCCCCACCCCTTCACCAACCTGCACTGGCCAGCGAGGTGAAGTATGGTCAAACAACCCTGATGACTGACGTGGCATGGGGAGGCCTTTATCCAGCCGTGGATTGTCAAAGATTTGTACACAGAGGGCCATATACAGCATCATAACCACCACCACTAGCTGTTGATGATGATGCTGTTGGTAACAATGTCGATGAGTATTGATGATGCTGCTACTGCTTATTGTTGATCGTAACGGTGCGTATTGATGATGATGATGATGTCGGTGGTGTTGCGGGTGATGATGGTGAGTGATACCGGTAACGATGTCGGTACATGGTGATGCCGCTGCTGCTGCTGCCTGTTGTTGGTGCTAACAATGCCGGTGCGTCTTGATGTTGATGATGCTGCTGCCTGTTGTTGGTGCTAACAATGCCGGTGTGGCTTGATGTTGATGATGCTGCTGCCTGTTGTTGGTGCTAACAATGCCGGTGCGCCTTGATGTTGATGATGCTGCTGCCTGTTGTTGGTGCTAACAATGCCGGTATGGCTTGATGTTGATGATGCTGCTGCCTGTTGTTGGTGCTAACAATGCCGGTGCGTCTTGATGTTGATGATGCTGCTGCCTGTTGTTGGTGCTAACAATGCCGGTGTGTGTTGGCCGTGACGATGACGTTGGTGCGTGCGCCGCTCGCCTCGATGCTGGGCGCGTTGTCGTTGACGTCGAGCACTCTGACGAGGACGCGCGCATGGGCGGGGACGCTGTGCACGCCCAGGTCCCGCGCCTGCACCGAGAACTCGTACGACGTCGCCGTCTCGTAGTCCAGAGGAGCTGCAGAACCATCGGCATCGTCAGAAGCAGCACCAGGAAGATCAACATCATCATTAAATCGGCGAGGTCAGCATCAGCATCGATAGCAAGGTCGGCATCATCATTATCATGAGCAAGCTCAGCAGCAAAGTCAGAAGCAGCGGCAAGGTCAGCATCATCAGCAAGGTCGGCATCATCAGCGGGGTCAGCATCATCAGCAAGGTCGGCATCATCAGCGAGGTCAGCATCATCAGCAAGGTCGGCATCAGCAGCAAGGCCAGCATCATTAGCAGCAGTAAGGTCGGCATCAGCAGCAAGGCCAGCATCATTAGCAGCAGTAAGGTCGGCATCAGCAGCAAGGCCAGCATCATTAGCAGCAGCAAGGTTAGCATCAGCAGCAAGGTCAGCATCAGCATCGATAGCGAGGTCAGCATTATCATGAGCAAGGTCAGCAGCAAGGTCAATTTGAATATAAATAACAATGATCATCCCGACTGTGAAAATGTTGGCAGGACCCTCCTGACAAAGGAGTCATGCGACTCAATGGGGCCTTCTTGGGTAAACAAGCATAAAAAAACCCATCAGTAGCAGCGACAGCAGCGAACGCAGCAACGGCAAACTAAGCTTCAGCTCCACCATTAGCAGCACCGACATCAGCGGCATTATCATCAATCATAATCATCATCCATGTGTGATTCAAATAAGTTTGACGTTCTCATTCTGGTCGCTTACAGAACATAAATTCAGGCGGGTGTGTCCGGGTCAGTGGCTCAGAAAATAATTTTCGCACCGGCACACCACATCATGTATACCTCTCGTTATGGCTGTGGGTATTCGTCACATGCCTGCTGCAGTCTACTCGCGACCCAGAATATATCGATTGAGGGATTAAGCCAGAATTTGTTATTATTCAAATTATTTACATTACAATTGATTGGACAAAATCAAAATAGTCACCGAATTTGGCATAAATTCCAGTTCTGAGAGATATTTAGTTTTGATTGATATGCAACGAGAATTGTTTACAAGCCAAAATAAATGTGTGCCCCTAGTGTGTATGAAGGGGTCTAATGACTTTCAAAAGTACTTCTGTTATGTCCTTTTCCGAGACTCTACACTGACACAGGGCGGTGCACCACTTGCTGTCAGAGTTTATGAATAGATGTGTCCTTGTCTTCATTCATGTTGCTGGTAGAATATAAATGGAATATAGATGGGGGGAGAAAGCAAAAGCATACTCCATGGCCTGATAACTAGGGTCAGAGCTTGGGGTCATGACCTTGCGCAGTTGGTATTAGGAGTTAACATTGGGTTTTGACCTCCTCGGGTTCGTAGTAGATAAGCAGACAATGTCTTCTTCAAATACTGGTCTATACAAATAACACAATAAAGGAATTTCACACAACCCATCGGCCCAATGGCCTTCTGAAAGTGAATAATTTCAGCAGCATTGATTCAGTACAAGCAAATTCTGGACCAGTTTCGACATACAGTCAGTATCTAATAAACAGTCGGGCTTGCTTAAATCAATGGTGGTGAATGTCCACATATTTAAGGGAAGGACCATCCCTTTAAGATAACGGGTCCTAGTTTGATGCCAAATGATATAAAGTAATTATACATAATTCAAAATAAACATCGAAATACATACAAATTAGGGTCAGAATTTGGTTTGCGACCTTATGTGGAAATCATTGGATCAAGGTCAGTGTTAGGGTCAGACTTGGGCTCATGACCATGTAGGTTCAGGGTTTATGATTTCAGGGTGAGCATCGGGATGACCTCAAAGGTTCAGTGTTGGTTCGTGACCTTGTAGGATCAGCAATAGGTTCAGCATTCGTGACCAAATAGATTTAGTCGTGGGGGTCGTGACCCTGTAGGGCCAGCATGGGGGGGGGGAGGGGGTAATCAGGGTTGGGGTCATGACCTCGTAAGGTGACGTGGCCGCTCGTGGGGTCGACGGCGAAGAGGTGGCGGATATCGTCGGAGACGTGGTCGCCCAGCGAGTAGCGAACCTCCCCGTTGGCACCCTCGTCGGGGTCACGTGCACGCAGCACGACGAGGGGGCCTCCTCGTGGCCAGCCCTGCGCCACCACACGCACATCAACCAATAATCACCGGCCATCGCCCACCATCACTGTAATCTGCGATCGCCCCACCATCAGCATTGTTCGCCATCGCCTGCTATTGCCGACCGACAACGTCGCTCTCCAGGGTCTGCCATCACCATCGCTCACCATCACTCGCAAAAGCTATCGCCCAAGCTATCACTCTCCACCATCATCACCCGCCAGCAACCATCATCATTATTAAACATTAACAATACCTCCTATTACTCACCATCATAATTATCCACTATCATCACCACCACTATCATATGTTATCGCCCACCATCACCATCATCGTCATCGTCATTCCTGTGATTATCACCGTCGGGGCTGCCTCACCTGTCCAGCCGGGCCGCCCTCGCGCACGCGCGCCAGGTACTCGCTGCGCTCGAATCGTGGGACGTGGTCGTTGACGTCGGTGATGGTGACGGTGACACGCGCCGCCCCCCACCGCGGGGGGCTGCCCCCGTCCCACGCACGCAGCACGAACGAGTGGCGCGCGCGCGTCTCTCGGTCCAGGGCTCGCGCCAGCACCAGCTCGGGCGACTGCGGGATTCCTCCGCCTTCTCCACCGCCCCCACCAACGCCGTTGATGCCACCGGGCCCGCCACCGCCCCCACCACCAACAGCAGCAGCACCGCCAGGACCAGCGCTACCACCGGTACCGGCAGTGGCGCCCCAGAGCCACACCACCAGGCCGTTGCTCACCACACCTGTGCACGGCGAGGCGCGCGTTACTGCGTTCAAGTTCATTGCAGCTCCCAGGAAATATGCGACCGTTGGTATGTGATTGGAAACATCGGACCAACGTTAACCCAGCATTCAATGTTTTATGGGTATGCGCCGTCCTATATTTTATTTTAAAATACTTGATAAATGTGCTAAGCATTTGTCCAAAAAAAATCGAATTCGCGGTGCAATTTTACGTACAGCTGCATTGGAGAGGACTTCAACCAGCAGCGGATATTTCATGGCCGATGATGATTGCGGCAATGGTGATAATGTGTGGGACCGACCTCCAGCCTCGAGACGCAGGACGAACGCGTCGTCTCTCTCTCCGTCGACGCCGCCGCCACCGTCTCCGTCTGGCACCAGCTCGTAGCGCTGGAGTCCATTGGAGCCCGAGTCCGGGTCGCTGGCGGGCGGCAGGGGCAGTCGAGTCCCCACGGCGGCGCTCTCCGGCACCTCTGTGAGTCCCCCGTTCCACCCGGGAGAGATGAAGATTGTTTTAATGGTTAAAGGAATAGGGGACTGCTGCTGTGGGTGAAAATGGCGAGCAACTACGATTAGCTGCATACGGTGTGAAAGAAGTTCAACATATATTCAGGGTAGGGCATGGTTAGATTGTTAAATACTCCCCCCCCCCAGCGGTATATGTGAGTACACCACAGTTAGTCGATGTAGCGGCGTGAAGTGTGGGCACTCCCACTTGGGAGTGCCCACACTTTACAAATGGTTACAAAATTACCTCTTTTCTCGCACCCAAACTGTATTCACAGATGATTGGAGGTCAAACAGTGTTAAGATAACAAAAGGGGTTCCAAAGGGTTCCATCCTCGGCCCCCTTTTGTTCTCTCTTTATGTCAATGACTTGGGCACTGACCTGGATCATTCCAGGGTAAATCTCATTCCAGGGTAAATCTTTTTGCAGATGACACGATACTGATTACTGCTGGCTGCTCTCCGGATGACGTGATTGCTAAGCTACAGGGTGATTTCAACAAACTACAACATCAGCTAGTTGCTCTTAAACTAGTCCTGAATACCTCCAAAACCAAGATGCTATGCTTCTCACCAGGACTAAAGCAGGAAGTTATTTTTCCCCAATTACATTCCTTAAATAATTATCCTGGATTCAAAACTGAATTTTGAAGATCACATTGATTATATTGGTAAAAAGGCAAAAATAAAAATTGGTTTTCTGTATCGACACAAGCACTGCTTCCCCCCAATGTTCCGTTTGGAATTGATAAAAGCTACCATACTGCCTCTACTTGACTACTGTGACATCGTGTATAAATCAGCCCCAAGTACTGTACTGAAGAAGCTTGATTCCATCTATCACTCGGCCTTAAGATTTACATTGAACTGCCCATATAGGACTCACCACTGCGATCTCTACATTGGGTCAAACTTAACATCTCTTAATGTTCGACGGCTTGTGCACCAGATTTTATTTATTCACGATGTACTTACAAAAAAATCCGCAGACTACCTGCTGGATCTCCTCTCTGTTTCAAAGAACTAATTTGACCTCAAGTCTTCGCTCATTTACCAGCTTCACATTCCCTATTGCCGCACAAAAACTGGAGGAAGGGTCTTTGCTATTGATGCCGCCAGGGTCTGGAATGCTATTGCCAATAAACTGCAACTTGAATCGCTACCAATGAGATCTTCTCTCAAAACTGCTCTAGAGGAGTTGTACACCCCTAGCTGCCACTGCTATTCATTGGCGTAAAATAAAATAAAATGTTTTTCTCCGGATGATGCTGCAAAGTATTATCTGTATTTTGATTTAGCGTGCTGATCTTAAAGGTGCATTGAAAAATGTAATACTCCAACTGATGCTTCTGTTGTTGTGGAGTAACTCATGCAGCCAGCTATGGCTCTAGGATTTGGTGTTACATGTTATTTATGTAGTTTATTGTAAAAATTCCGTCACAGTCCCTATGATGAGTGTTACGTTGCAATTATGGCTTTATTTTGTTGTGATTTCGAAAACGTTTTTTGGTTTGGACATGTTTGCTTTGTTGTAGTACGGAGTTAGACTGACGGCCTTAATCTAAGTTTTCTTGTGGTTGTTGTTGTTGTTTGACTTGCATCCCACTGGGATTTTTTGCACACAGCGTTGGTGTACGATGCTTTTTTCAGGAATATTTTGCTGTTTTTTCATGGATTTTCTGTTTGCACAGTCAACATAGTCATTTTAAGATGTTTTCTTGTTCGTGTTTTTGTTTTTTTGTTTGTTGTGGTTGCACCCGATTCAAGAGCCAAATGGCTCACAGGGCTATACCAAAATAAATAAACTGAGAAAAAACTGAGAAAAACCTCTTCCAAGATATCTGGCCATCGTGGAAGAGGAGGCCAAATACCCTCACGAGAGAGGCCTCTTGAGCTCCATTAAGTGGAAGCCTTATTGCCAGTAGTGGAATGAGCAAACAATCACAGGGCTGCGCCTTTCCATTTTTAAAGAGATGGCAATGACTAAAATCACCTTGCATGCTCCCAATTGCATCAGATCGCATAGCCTAAGCACAGTTGAGCCTGCATAGTGCTTGGATGGGCGACCGCCAGGGCTTAATTTCAGCCTGGTCTGCCCAGGGCAGTGACCTGGAGTGCATTTCCACGTCCAGAAAACCACATCGAGCATACATCTCGCAATGGCTGTGGTCACGAGTCAAGGGCCTACTCCAGCTTGCCAGGGATCCAGAAAGTATTAAGAAATTAAGCCCATGTGGCCACCATGCATACAACAGGTGTTATAGGATGAACCGCACGGCATGGGAAGGCCCTCATCCAGCAGTTGATTAACAAAGAGCTGTACACGTACGTACAAAGAAATGATAACAAAAACAAGAATGATAATTTTTAAACATGCAAATGTACCGCCCCTTTGTCAATCCCCTACTGGTTTGAATCCAGGCATTCGCTTGTGATTAATGTAGGTTCTCAAGAGAAGTGAGAGTTGGTTGTCTCAGCCTAGTCACCAATGACTTGCATTGAATTTGGTTGTCCACCTTATTTTTCTAAGACCCAATCATGGAATGTATAAAAATTAAAAGAAATAATTAAGTTTGTCACGCAACATGATATACTCTCTGTAGCATGGTGCGTGGGGAAGTGCTGCCCCCTACTGTGTGAACTAGAAGCCACTTGCCAAAATCTCAGAGGTAGCTCTGTGTTGTCCGCTTCTGGGGACCATCATCTAACAAGATTGGTTGCACTGCCGTGTGAGCGTTCCAATTGTCTCATGACGTGACGCCAACCGCACAATCGGGATACAATTGGGGGGAATCGTTTCTTTATTAAAATTATTCCTCGTCGTGTTCACCAGATCACGTTGCGGTAGTGTCACATCCCTCACCCAACGAGACGAGCGACTCGGCGAAACTGGGTGCGTGGTCGTTGACGTCGAGGACGCTGACGAACACCCGCGCCAGCAGCGGCGGCGAGTCCAGCATGAGCTCCAGGGACAGCACGCAGGCGTCCGTGTCTCCGTCGGAACCTCCCGCACGCCCTGACCCCGCCATCGAGGAGATGCCGCCACCGGCGCCTCCCCCGCCAACAAAATGTCCGGCACCTACTCCACCACCACCACCTCCGCCGCCCCCGTGTCGGCAGATCTCCTCCCGGTCGAGCCGCTTGCCACTGAGCCGCAGCTCCCCGCTCTGCTCGCTGGCCGTCACGTACGCAGTGCCGTTGCCCGAGGGCAGTGCGCGGAAGTTGCGCGAGCGGAGGTCGGCGGGGCCCGGGAGGCCCAGGTCGAAGGCTGCGCGGCCGACCAGCGTGCCCGGCGCGCTCTCCTCCGGCACGGAGTAGCGCAGGGTGGTGGCCACCAGCGCCGCGGGGCCCGGCTGGGCGGCCGGGGAGCCCTGCGACGGCGATGGGGCCTGCGGGGCCCCCGACGCGGCGTGCAACGCCAGCAAGGCGATGAGCGTGACCGCCATGGAGAGGGGAGTCCTTCTACGCTGCTGTCTCGGCTTCCGAAGCGACGGTGGCCTCGCTGATCCATGGGGCGTCATGGTGAGGCCGCCGTCGCTCAGGATCAGCGACGGGTTGTTTTCGGATTTGCGCGATATTCCGTGGAGTAGTGTGGTTTGTGGTGGTTGCTGTTCTGCGTATTCACGCAGACAAGTGGTAATTACTTTTGTGAATGTGATAATACACGGCTCTGTAAGTCTACTTTAAATTTCTTCACAAGTTACTGAAATGTAAAAAAATTATATATTTCCAAAATTAAATGCGGACGTGCCAGAAGGCTTTTTTTTTTTAGAAAATTGCACTTTATAAGTAGATGTAAAATATGTTAATGTGATAAAAAATAGATGAGTGGCTTATTTTCAAAAAATATAGATATTCGATTTCATGATTATAGTTACATTAGATCTTTTTTTAAATACTTAACAGTAATTAAAAAAAACTGATAATGAAAAACACATTTTTGCCAAAAATGTAAAACCGTAGAAGAATGATATCGAGTAGTTATTTGTACGAAGATGGGGAGCAAGGTAGACGTAGTAATTGTGTCTTCATCTCAGTTCCCTGGAAACACAATTCCAGCCTTGGAAAAGTTTGTTCCACCCTACAAACACAAAGCACAAACACCTCCCATTAATCATTATATATTAACAAACTTAAGCACAATATCCGGACTCGACTCTGATTAGCTTACGAGATCTGACAATATTAGGCACATTATCGGTGATTTTACCATAGGAAATAATCAACAGGCGCACTTAAGGCAATACGGCAAATGACCACCCATGACTTTGCCGCCTGTAATGTAATGGCAGTACAGAAAGTGGCCATATCACAGCTCTCCTGTACAGCGGCAGGCTTCGTGTTATTCTCTCGTTCGCGTGGAGTTTTTCTTTGCCACGCTCTGCTTCCTTGTTCCCCTCCACGCACACAAGCGCAACATTCAAAACAACAGCAGCAGCAGTGGCAGCGATGATGAAGGCTTCACCAAGCCATCGACATTTTTTCACGATTCTGCGATGCAATAATCCACCTTAGCACCTGCACATGGGCTGATTTCATTACACCATCTCCTGAGTGGATGAAATCATAGACGCGTTCCATTCCTTGGCTGCTAATCCACCGCTATTCCTGACCATCGCCTATCATCCATTCTCATAATGTGTCCTGCCCAAATCCACTTACTCTTCTTCACAGATTGCAAAACAAATCAACCAAATATTCCAAGCACAGGACCCTTCTGGAAACAATGTCTTTAGACTCAGTGAAGCTTTCCTTGACGAACGAATTACATTATTGTCATTACTATCAGTATGACTGACTGATTTAAATGGAATTGGCCAAACATATCAATTTGGTTTTCCGCAATAATGGCTAGACTACAATGATGTATCGCGAAATATAAGATCCACAATAGTCGCATCTGTTTTTTAAAAAAAGTGGCTCATCTAAACGTTTTTTTAAATATTACATTTTGTGAAAATATATTAAATAAGAATTGAAATACACAGTGGTTATTAAATAACAAAATAGCCATGATCCATTAAATGAGTGCTGTTTACAATGTTTTACTGTTATGGAAGACATTGCAACGCTTTAATGATGTCATCATTTTCTGACAGCATGTGGGTTATGTATTGCCAAGTTACAACGACTGCAAGACTTGTGGCAAGCTTATGTTGAGTGTGCTTGCAGTTGAATAATTTTCTCGCGAACTTGTCTCGTACAAAAACAAGATGATGATGTGAAATGAGGGTTATACTAATTTATGGGAAAAAATGATATCACGGTCTATTCGGTGTTGAGGCGTAATATTTTCCTGGGAAAATTAATGAAGATATTGTTGGATACAGCCCTTTTTAATTAATCCACTGCTGAATGAAAGCCTCCCGCCCCCCGTCCCCCGGCATCCCCTCCGGCCCCAGGCCGTGTTGGTCGTGGTGGTTGTCTGACCAGACTTGACCACGCCGATCAATGCTGGTAGGTCAAGTGGAGAAACCCTGAGACAGTTCAGATATCACTCGCCACTGATGTTAGCCGTGGCCTAGAATCAATGGCTGGTGTTTTCTCATTGTGGGGGGGGGGGGCCCAAATGCAGAAAAAAAACATTCTTCCCCTACTTCAAATGATAAAATGCGACTGAGATGACAGAAAAGATATAGACGACAGATATATTGAGATAAGAGATATCTGGACAAAAGATAAAGATGTTATGACATTAGAGAAGAGGGATTCAGACAAGATAGAGATGAAAGAGATTAATTGGCTTTGATGTGAATTATCTTATTATGTTTAGAACATTCTATAGTTGAAGAGGATATCTGATGCACGCCAAATATTTTGTTTCATGAACACAGTATGGTGACCCCTTGAGATACTTGGGGCTCTACGCTTGCTCCTGTGCATGGTTTGCGAATGCCAAGAGCGCCGCCGCACTGAGCCGCGCGCTAACCGCTGCGCCACCGCTCCCTCCCCACCTACCCACGACCATTGCAATGGTACCGCCAAAGCGCAACTCTCATGCCGTCGCTGCAAGGTTAAGTGGTTGCCACGTCTCACAGCCACGAGCATCGCGAATGCATCATTTTCGCGCAATTTACCAAAAAAAAACCACACACACACACAGACGCAATTCTCCCTGGTAAAAGTGCAAACAAAAAAATAATGGAATTATTGATTTAATAATACTATAAACAGGAAATAATTACTGTGAAGCTAATAATAGATGACCCCCCCCCCCTCCCCCACGTGAGCGTGTCCGGTCCTCACGTCTCCCTTGCCGCAGAGATAACGGATCTCGCGGGCTCCCACCTGTTTTAAAGGACGCCTAATTGAATAGCGGTAACAATTACGTCGCTTCCCACGTTCTCTCCAATACACGCCCCCCCCCCCAACGCGGCTCGGATCAATGGTGCACTCCCGGGAGTCGCCCACACCTGTGGCTCCGTGGGCGACACCATCGCGCGAGGTGGCGGCACGCGGGGGGATTTCGTGTGTCGCGTGAGAAAAGGGGGTGGGTGAGACGGGAGGGTGATTGTTTTTTGGTTGTTTTTGGGTGCCCGAGGGGGGTGGTTAGTGAGGAGGGGGAGGGTGGCAAGGGAGTAGGGGGGGGGGGTGGGAGGGAGGGGCTGGGGTGGCGAATGCCTCTCTGTGGGGGGCGCTCGTTAGGATTAATTGCAATCAATTGTAACATTTAATTATGCCACTGGGGCTTGTGGGTAATGGTGGAGCTTTGTTAAGCGAGGGAGGGGGTGGGGGTAGTGGGGGCGAGAGAGGGAAGAGAGGGAGAGAGCAGTGGTAGCAGTGGTGTAGCTCTCGTGTGTGCAGGCGGCGTAACTGCACCGCACCCCAGGGGAGACGACGGTGGGGAGAGACAAGGGATAGAACAAAGGGGAGCATGGAGGAAGAGAGAGAGAGAGGGAGGAACGAAGGAGCAGAGCTTGAGATCTTTCGTGAAATATTTCATTTAAACAGGGGGGCACATAGAGCAAAGCATTGAAAAAAAACGAAATGATGAACGAAGCAAAGTGCCGACTACACCGAGCATCTTCTTGTTTCCTCTGATCGTAAAACAAGAGAGAGGGAGGGAAGAGGGAGGAACGGAGCGAGGTATGGAGAGAGCGAAGGAGGGATGGAGGCAGATTGGACAGGCCACCCTGTAAACTGAGTCACGCCGCCTTCCTGGAGCTGCTGGCGAGGGAGGATGAGATCGCGTGCTCCGTAACTGAAGATGGGCCTCTGAATAATAATTATAATCATTGAGCCTCCGAGCTACCCGAACCCTCGCTTGCCCAACCCAAACCCTAACTCTTAATCCCTCGACCAAAGATATTGATGCCTCTCCGCCACTGTGGATATATTGCTATCGGCGGAGATTGACTTCCATATTTGGGGGGGGGGGCGTTCGCTTTGTCCCTCACATTAAGAATCTCAGGTGCAGATAATTCATACATTTATTTTGTTATTGTAAACTACTCGCAATAAATTAATAGAGGTGTCCAGTTTGGGCGGAGCGTTTCCCTCCCCCCCTCCCGTGCTCCCCCCCCCAAAAAAAAAAACCTCTGCCCACGGCAAGGGACATGTAACAACAAAAATCAACGCTCAAATGTGGAACGAACCCGAAGTTCAAAAAAATACCAGAACAGAGGTTTCGTCTGATCGGCGACAAAGCGTGAGGAGGAAGAAGAGAAGAATGAAGGCGCCACTGAGGCAGGAGGGCCGAGTGGATTTCGGAAGCACACGTCAGATACCAAAGATGTGAGGTCTAATCATGAGTGCCGTACCACCAACAACAACAACCGTGAAGTGGCTTTGCACTTGAGCCGTGATGTCAACCAATTAGGACCGTGATTCAGGTGGCAACGGCGAGTCCCGCCTGGCTTTGTGGATGAGGGAGAGAGAAGTGCTCATCGGACCCCGCGGGATCTGAAACTCGCCCTTCTCCAGCCACGCCGGGATGGCGATGATGGTTGCATTCAGTTTCGCGTACGTGTGAAATCGTAGACTTATTATTAGTACGTATCCAATATTTTATTTTGATTTTGTTGTAATAATAACCGACAATGATACATTCGGACTGTACCGCGGCATGTGTCAGCACATCACCGGGAACGTGTCCGATCCGGTCACACCTGGGAAGCTAAGCAGGTTCGAGCCTAGATAGTGGCTTGGATGGGCGGACACTTGGTGTAAAACTGGTGTTGTTAGACTGGTTCGGGGCAACTTCGCGGGCAGTTCAGCGAGATCCTTTGTTGCCATGTACTGCTATGCCGTCTGTGCCCCTCATCCAACGCGCACTCTGACCAGCGTGGTGAAGTATGGTTAACCAACCCCCACGACCGACTTGGCTATAATGGCGATGTTGCAGGGAGATGATCTTGTCCTTCATCCTGCGATGGACGCTATTGACAAAGGGCTGTAAATACTTTTCAACAGATACTGCAGACCGAAGAGGAAAGCTCTTCTGTAGATATAATAGGATATGCTATACAGATGAGAGGTATTTAAAAAAAAACATAATTCACAGCCCTTCATGAATCCACTGCTCGATGCAGTGGCTCACCACGCCATGTTAGGCTTGGGGTTTGTTTGACCATACTTCACCACGCTGGTCTTTGTGGCTTTCTGAAGAGAGGCTGGGTTTTGCCAGGACCGGTTTCAGACATCACCCACCACTGATTAATCTAACCCTCTCGGGAAATTGAACTTAGGTGGCCGAGTATATAGGACAGACCGCTGCCCCACCATTCCTCCACCGCCCCGACACCTGCTAAATAGCGACGAGTTAAGAGATAACGACAGAGACTTGCAAAAGAAAAGATCCTTTTTTAGCAGAGATGCTACAGATAAAGATGATATAGAGAGACAGACGATGAGTTGCTGCCGAAATATTCACGATTATACTGTAATACGCTCCGGAAAGTGAGACGCACCTCAACGCTTGCGGTCATTTTTTATTAATATATACTCGAAATAATAGGTACTATTGAGAACAATTGGTTTAATGCATCTTCCGCAAGGCAATGTATGTTGTTAAAGCTGTTTTAGTGTGAGATACTACACGTGGTTTGGAGATCTATAGGGGAGATCTATTAGCAGAGATGC